ATTCATCATGACTCTTAGCCTTTTGAATACTTCGATTTGCACTCCCTTCGTCATGATGTCTGCAATCTGATTCTCAGTTCTGCAGTGTTCCAAATTCACCTTCTCATCTGCTACCTGCTCTCGAAGATAATGGAACCTCATTTCGATGTGCTTACTTCGACCATGTGCTATTAGGTTCTTCTCCATACTGATAGCTAACATGCTGTCGATTTTATGGTAATTGCTCCATGATCTTTCCCTGTTATCTCTTCGACCAAGTTCACCATCCAAGTTGCTTGACATGCACAAAGAGAAGCAGCTATATATTCTGCTTTGTATGATGATAATGTCACTACTGGTTCCTTTCTTGAATTCCAAGAAACCGGTGCACCACCTAGCATAAACACATATCCTGTTGTTGACTTTCGATCTTCAGCATCACTACACCAACTTGAATCAGTATATCCCACTAACTCGCATTCGTTTCCTTTATCAGCTGCAGGAAACAAAATGCCATAATCGAAAGTTCCTTTGAGATACCTTAGTATCCCCTTCTCTGCTGCTAGATGTGATACCTTTGGCTTCTGCATGAATCTACTTACCATACCTACACTATATGCTAAGTCAGGCCTTGTATGACAAAGGTATCTCAATGATCCAATAAGTCTTATGTATTGGGTTGGACCAACATCATCTTCATCTGCATCTTTCGACAGTTGCAGTCTTGGTTCTGCAGGTGTCGAAGTTGAGTTGCATTCTTCCATCTCAAATCTCTTGAGAATTTCTCCTGCATATCTTTTTTGATGCATCATCAAACCTTTACTGCTCTTGTAGAATTTGATACCAAGGAAATATGAAATCTCACCCAAATCACACATTTCGAATTTTTTACTGAGATCACCTTTGAAGTCTTCGATCTCACTTTTACAGCTACCTTTGGCTTCTGCATGAATCTACTTACCATACCTACACTATATGCTAAGTCAGGCCTTGTATGACAAAGGTATCTCAATGATCCAATAAGTCTCTTGTATTGGGTTGGATCAACATCATCTTCATCTGCATCTTTCGACAGTTGCAGTCTTGGTTCTGCAGGTGTCGAAGTTGAGTTGCATTCTTCCATCTCAAATCTCTTGAGAATTTCTCCTGCATATCTTTTTTGATGCATCATCAAAACTTTACTGCTCTTGTAGAATTCGATACCAAGGAAATATGAAATCTCACCCAAATCAGACATTTCGAATTTCTTACTGAGATCACCTTTGAAGTCTTCGATCTCACTTTTACAGCTACCTGTTATCAACAAATCATCTACATAGAGACATAGTATAAGCAATTTACTCTTGCTTCTTCTTACATATACTCTATGTTCAGTTGTGCACTTCACAAATTCCTTCTCCCTTAGGAAACTATCAATTTTATTAGTCCAAGCCCTTGGAGTTTGTTTCAATCCATACAGGGCTTTAGGCAGCCTGTACACCTTTCTTTCTTCGTCATGTTTCACAAACCCAACTGGTTGTTTAACATAGAATTCTTCGTCTAAGGTTCTATTTAGGAATACAAACTTCACGTTCATCTGACATATGTGCCAACTGTTTATTTCTGCTAGACCAACAACCAACCTGATTGTTTCGATCTTAGCAACAGGTGCAAAAACTTCATCGAAGTCTATTCCTTCTTTTTTTAGAAATCCTTTCGCCACAAGCCTTGCTTTGTGTCGAGTTACTTCCCCTTTCGAATTCGTTTTCACTTTGTATACCCACTTGACATCAATTGCCTTCTTTCCTTGAGGAAATTCGACAAGTAACCAAGTGTTGTTGTCTTCGATAGACTTCACTTCTTCGTTCATTACTTTCACCCACTTCGAACCCTTCAATGCTTCAGCTGCATTAACAGGTTCGACATTTGCATAGAAAGCATAATGTACCTGCTCACCTTCATCATCTATCACATCATATATCACATCATCTGATGTAATCACATATCCTTGCAATCTTGCAAGCATGCGTCTTGTTCTTTGAGGTCTGCTTGTACTTGGTATATTTGTTGGTTCCTCTTGTCGAACTTCTCTTTCGACTTGAGTTTCTGGTTTTTCGAATAGGATTCCCACTGAATCTTTCTAAACGTTTTCAGTCCAATCTCATTCTTTAAACTCATCTATGATCATGTCCCTGCTGATCACAATCTGCTTTTTCACTGGATCAAACAACTTGTAGCCTCCTGTCAAATGATATCCAACTAGAATCATTTGACTTGACTTGTCATCAAGTTTTCTTCTCAACTGATCTGGCACATGTCTATGTGAAATAGATCCAAATATCTTCAGATGACTTAAGCTAGGCTTCACACCAGAATAACATTCTTCTAGAGTAATTCCTTCTAGCTTCTTTGTAGCACATTTGTTCAAAATGTATGTTGCAGTCGAAACAGCTTCATCTCAAAACTCTTTAGGTAAATTCTTGCCTTTCAACATACTTCTCACCATATTCATGATGGTTCAATTCTTCCTTTCTGCAATTTTGTTTTGTTGTGGAGTATAGGGTGGCATAACCTCATGCATAATCCCTTCCTTTTCACATAGCCTGTCAAAGTCTTTCGACACATATTCTCTACCACCATCAATTCTCAAAACTTTGAGCTTTAGACCACTTTTTCTTTTGACCATAGACTTAAACTTGGTAAATACTTCGATCACTTCACTTTTCTTCTTGATCAGATAAGTCCATAGCTTTCGACTGAAATCATCTATGAATGTAACAGAGTATTTCTTACCTCCCATCGAATCCACCTGAATTGGTCCATATACATCAGAGTATATGACTTCAAAACTAGCCTTCGACCTGCTTCCTGCATCCTTGCTGAAGCTATTCTTGTGTTGCTTCGCCTGCACATATTCCTCACATACCTCGTTTAGAATGTCGATTTCTGGCAATCCCGAAACCATATTTCTTCTCTTCAAATCTCTAATGTCTCTGAAGTTGAGATGACCTAGTCTATAATGCCATATCCATTCATCTCTACTAGCTGCAGTCGAAAGGCACTTGTGCTCCATCATATTTAGTTCAATCTTGAAGGTTAGATTCTGAGACATAGGAGACTTCAAGATTAATCTCTCATTTGCATCAACGACTCTCATCATCTTATCTTCGATTGAAACTTTATAATTCTTTTCGACCAACTGCCCTATACTGAGCAAATTGCTCTTCATGCCTGATATGTATAACACATTGGAGATTACTGACCTTTTACCATCTTTCCTCATAATCATAACATCACCAATACCTTCAGCTTCCAGGGTATTGTCATTTGCAAATTTTACCATATTTTTTGTTGAGGGCTTTATGTTGACAAACCAATCTTTCCTTCTAGACATATGTGATGAACATCTTGAATCCAAGTACCACTGGTCCTTGAATCTATCTTCATCTTTTGTTGTGACCATCAACATCATCTCTTCTTCTTCATGTTTTGCAAGCTTTGCATCACTTTCTTGATTCTTTCGTTTTTCTGGACAATCACTCGAATAGTGTCCATACTTCTGACAATTGTAACATTAAATGTGACTCTTATCAGGTTTTCGACCACCACCTCTTCCTCTATTTGCAACACCACCTCTTTGATTGTCTTGGTATGGTCTTCTTTGATTCGACACATTTCCTTCGATCTGGTTTCCTTCGATCACGTTTCCTTTGATCTCTTTTGTTGAATGTGTCTGCAAGGCCACATCACTCTTCGATTTGCCTGCAGCTCTTTCATTCATTCTTTGTTCATGAAATTCAAGCGTCCCTTGAAGCTCTTCCTTTGTCTATTTCGACAAGTCTTTCCTCTCTTTTATCGCCACCACTATGTGGTCGAACTTAGGAGCTAAAGGTCTCAAGATCTTCGAAACAACAACTCTTGTTGTTAACCTTTCTCCACATATCTTGATTTGATTTACTAGTTTTGTAACTCTGGTGAAGAAATCAGATATGCTTTCACTGTCTTGCATCTGAAGCAGTTCATACGTCCTTTTATGAGTTTGTAACCTCACTTCTTTCACCTTCTCAGCGCCTCCAAAAGACTTCTCAAGGATTTCCCAAGCTTCTTTTGCTGATTCTGAATCACTAACCTTTTTGAAATTGTATGGGCTGACACATTGATGAATTATAAATAATGTTTTATAACTCAACTTCTCATATTCTTTGTATTTCTTCTTTTCTTCTTCTGAAGCATTTTCTCTAAGCGCTTCGACTCCATCTTTTACAAGATCCCAAAGACCTTGACACCTGAATAAGACTTTCATCTGTTTACACCAATTCTCATAGTTGTCTACTTTTAGAATTGGTAGAGTTGTTGGATAATCTGCATTCCCATAATTTGCCATCGTAAATTCTTCAATCGTTCTTGATTGACACTTCCCTTGAATCGAAACAAAAGCTCTTGATATCAGATGTTGAAAACTCACCAAAGTCTATGATGAATTTCTACCACAATGACAATTTAATTATGAGACAAACAAAGAAAGAAGACAAGACAAATAATTTCTGCAAAGTTTCTCTCTGCTCACAAACTGTAAAAATTTTCTTATTCACTTTGCAACTGTAAATGTGAATGACTTGCTTGACTTGCTTACAAAAAATAGGAGTTACTCCCTCTATTTATAATTGAGCTTGCATCCTAAGTCCAAAGCCCAAAAATATCTATTTTGTTACTGAATCAAATCAAATCTATTCTAGATTTAAATCAAATCTATTTAAATCTAAACAAATCTAATCTTTTCGACACTATAAATTACAATTTAATAAATTTTACAAAACTCAATTTTATTGAAATCAATTATGTTCACCGTCAATCCAAATACAAACATAGTATTATTTAATTATTTGCTGAATTCATGTTGGGACTCATATTAAGTAAATAAAAGGAATTCACAGAATTTATATATATATATATATATATGTGTGTGTCTTTTTTTTATATAACTCTTGAGAACATAGTATATTCATTATAAAATAGCATCATTATTTTGTTGATAAATAACCATGATGAGAAACTATATTATTTTAGTATTCTATGCATTGGTTGTGTTGCCTGCCATTTTTGGATTCAAGTCATCAATACAGAATGGAAAAACGATGTGCAAAGAGAAGGAGAGACATGCTTTGCTCAATTTCAAAAAAGAGCTTCATTTAGATTTTGACATATTGTCTTCGTGGAAGGACAATCGAAATGAAGATTGCTGCAAATGGCCCGAAATTGAATGCAACAGAGAAACAGGTTATGTTCAAAGGCTTGATCTTAATCTTTCATATACAGACGATTTCACTTTCAATGGTAACATGAGTTCCTCAATAACTGAGCTACAACATCTAAAATATTTAGACCTCAGTTATTTGAAAGGAAACATTCAAATCCCAAAGTTCATTGGCTCCTTTAGTAACTTAAGATATCTTGATCTCTCATATGGTGGTTATCATGGGAAGATTCCTTCTCAAATGGGGAATCTTTCACATTTGCGACACCTTGGTCTTGGTGGGAATGAACTCATTGGAGCAAATCCTTTCCAATGCGCAAATGTTGAATGGCTATTAAATCTCTCTTATTTGAGATATCTTGACTTGAGTGATGTTCAAAGTCTCAGCAATACTTGTCATCACACCTTTCAACTCCTAGCAAAGCTTCCAATCCTTGAAAAGTTATATCTAAATGATTGTAACCTTACTGATGACAACATCCCTGGATTATCTGATTCTTACATGAACTTTTCCACTTCTCTCACTGTCCTACAGCTTTCTCATAATCACTTGACATCATCAAAGATATTTCAATGGATGCTTAACTACACCTCCAATCTTCAACAGCTCTACCTTGATAATAACTTGTTAAAAGGTACTATTCCTAATGATTTTGGAAACACTATGCGTTCACTTGTAACTCTCGCTCTCATGGGGAATCTACTAGAAGGAACGATCCCAAAATCTATTGGAAATATATGCACCTTGCAGGAATTTGCCGCTGACGACAACCAATTGAGCGGAGAGATTTCAGAATTTATCATCCATAATAACATTTCCCAATGCATGCAAAATTCATCTTCCTTACAAGTTATATGGTTGTCGAATAATCAGCTTTCAGGCATGTTACCTGACCTTTCAAGCCTCTCTTCTTTGAGACTCCTGTATCTTTACGGTAATAAATTTATTGGAGAAATACCAACATGCAGATAGGTTTTTAAAAAGCATTGATCTCTCAAGCAACCATCTTACAGGGGAAATACCAATAGAAATGGAGTACTTATTTGGATTGACTTCCTTAAATTTGTCAAGGAACAATCTCAGTGGAGAAATCATTTCAAAAGTAGGAAACTTAAAGTCACTTGAATTTCTTGATCTGTCAAGAAACCATCTTTCAGGCAGAATTCCTTCAAGTCTAGCTCACATTGACCGTCTGACTATGTTGGATTTGTCAAACAATCAGCTCCATGGAAAAATTCCAATTGGAACACAGTTGCAGACATTTAATGCTTCAAGTTTTGAAGGTAATTCTAATCTGTGTGGAGAACCCCTTGTTACAAAATGTCCTGGAGAAGAGACGTCAAACCGTCAAGTGCCAACAACTGATGCTGGAGATCACAATTCAATATTTTTGGAAGCATTATACATGAGCATGGGCATAGGATTCTTCACTAGTTTTGTTGGCTTTGTAAGCTCAATATTGTTACTACCTTCTTGGAGAGAAACTTACTTCAAATTCTTGAATACTTTGATATTGAAACTCTTCATGTGGTGGAAGCAATGAATCTACATAGTGCAGTTTCGATGAAATACACCATGAAAAAAGTATGAAAGAGGATAAGTACCAGGATCTCATAATCCTACTGCATGAAATGGAGTCCACGCCCTATTGGTTATTGGTAGAATACATTGAAAAATGGCATTTTGTCAAAACTTTTAAGTTTGTCTGTTTTTAATTGGAAATGTTATTACTTCTGTAATCAAGTTAATAGTGTAATCACTGGCTTATACGTCTTTGTTACTTGTAAAAGTTTATGTCATTTTCTATATTATGAAACAGTTTTTACACAATTTAGACAGAAGTTCCTTTTTTTTTTTTTTTGTATGCATGTTATAGACAAAATAAATAATGTTAAATTAGTTGATACTTTCCAGTCCTTTAAATCTGCACATTATTATGACACTTGTATATCACAGTCAAGTTTTCTATTTCGCTATGAATAACAACATGCTACTCCGAAATAGAAGCGGTATAAGGTGTAGCCACAATTATATCATCCTTGTCTCTTAGCAATTCATCCAACATTGGTAATTCTTTTTTCCTCAAATTCTTGCATTTACATCTTATGTCCTGGGGTCGCAGCTCTCAATTGGCTGCTTTAACAGGACTTAATAATATATTATTATAAATATTAGTTTCAGATTATTTACAAATACATTATCTTAATTTTTTAAAATTCTAATGATATTTATGAGGTCCTTACAAATATTATTAAATAAAATTAATATGGACAAAAAAAATTTGAAATTGGACTTAAAATTAAAAAAAAAACAAAAAAAAAACATACACTTAGAGTTAAAGAAGTAACATGGATAAATTATATTTTGGATATTAAAATAAAAAAGATTATTAATTCTAAAACATATTTACATATTTATTAGGAAAATAATAAAAATAAAATAAAATTATTATATAAAAATAATTTAATACAATAATATTTACAATGTCATAAATTAATTAATAAAGAATAATTTAACTTATTACAATTTCTTATGTTTAAAATTCTATTTAACATTTTTTTCTTTTTTAAAATTTATTTTTTTAACTTGTTATTTATAATATAAAAATAAATATATTATTCATATTAAAAAATATTTAATTTACAATCTATCTCTATGGTTGTAAATGAAACGCAAGTATATGATGTTATCGATGATTATTTCGAGTCCAAAACAACCAGGAAATGACATAGATATTTATTTATCGCCATTGATTTTAGATTTAATACTTTTGTGGGAGGAAGGTGTTGATGTTGATGATGCATATACAAGTGATAAATTTAAGTTATGTGCCATGTTGTTTTGCACAATCAATGACTTTCCTATATACATTAATTTGTTTGGGTACGGCTTCAAGGGTCATAAAGTGTGTCCTATATGTGAAGTTGATACATGTCACCACCAACTATCAAAAGGAAAAAAAGATAATTTATCTTGGTCATCGAAGATTTCTAAGGCCTAATCATATATATCGTAGATTGCGCAAGGCTTTTAATGGAGAGCAGGAGTTTGGTATCGACATTGTCATCTTGATGTATGACGTTGTCTTAATGTGACGCACGTGGAGAAAAATATATGTGATAGTTTGATTGAAACACTTCTCAATATTAAAGGCAAGACAAAAGATACTAAAAAATTCTGTGAAGATATGGTTGTGATGGATATACGAAAGAATTAGCTCCAAAAAAAGTAGAAAATAGAACCTAGTTGCCTCCAGCATGTTACACTCTGTCTAAAAAAGAAAAAGAAAAGTTTTTGTGATTATTTGTAGGGTGTCAAAGTTACCAAATGGTACTCATCAAATGTGAAGAAACTTGTGTCAGAGAACGATCACAAATTAATTAACTTAAAATTTCATGATTGTCATATGTTGATGTAACAACTTCTACCAGTAGCTATCTGTGGCATCTTACCAAGAAATGTAAGGGTGACTATAATCAGATTGTGCTTATTCTTCAATATTATACGTAGTAAAGTTATAGATCCTGGAAATTTAGATGAATTGGAACACAAAGCTGCAATTATCTTGTGTCAATTAGAGATGTTTTTCCCTCCATCATTCTTTGACATCATGGTTCACTTAGTTGTTCATCTAGTAAGGAAGATTAGAATTTGTGGTCCAGTTTATTTACGGTGAATGTATCTTGTGGAGCGTACATGAATATTTTCAAAGGATATACAAAGAATCATTGTAACACTCTTCTAAATCCACATGTATTTCGCATATATTTTACTAAAATAAATCAAATAATATCAGAACAAGGATGTCACGTCTTCATATAAACATTATATAAAATATCATGCTCCGTAACACGAATTTTCAAAATATTTAGAACCACTATTTCTTTAATATCATCAATATCATATTTAAATTATCGCAGCAGAATCATAGTCTCAAAACATCTTTCAAGGTTTATAATCCAAGAACAATTTAAATATTAAGAAAGGTAATCCATCATCTATAAATCAAGAGCATAATAGTTTCAAAACAAATGTTCTCAACTCCGATGTTACATATCATAACAAGACTCTCATATTCAACAGAAATAAATGACGCACTCTGAAGCTATCCTCTAAGCTTCAAACGAACTATTCTTGGTCACTTGTAAGTTACCCTCGTAAAGAGGCAACATTTTCAAGCAGAAAGAGCGAGTAATCATAATCATTATAAAAGATATAAGGAATAAATATAGTAGTTATAACACATTAGCAAGAAACCAAACATCATCAAAACTTCATGTTATACTCACACAGTCACTTCATTATTCATTTATAGCATCATCATATCATTAGTCAATAGTTATCCCTACAACATCATTAATTCACACATTCACAAAGCATCACTTAATCAAGTATCATGCAGTGCCACAAGTAATTCAATGCAACTTCATTAGACTCATGCATGTGGTACCAAAACTTCACTGATGACTCCAGAGTCATTCATTCATTGCATTTGTACCATTAGTCGGTCATTCGTGCATTAGGTTGACCAAAAGTCAACCAAAAAGTCAACATTTTATGTGTTGTGAAATTTGACTAAAATTCATGCATCATTGATCATTGTTGAAAAATCATTTAAATCACCACACTATTCTTTTAGGAATATTCATTAACATATCATACATCATAATACAAGGTCAAAGAAAAGTCAACATATTACATGTTGAAAGAAGTTGACGAAAATTACATTATTTCATTATGCATTTTGGAAAATAAATTCATAATCATTTGATTTATCACCATTATATCCATTTGAATTTAATTAATCATTTTCATGAATCATAAAATAAAAATCAAGCTTCTAGAAGGTCAAAAGTATCTAAAATATTACATGCATATATGACATAATCATTTCGTTGATTTATTGCATCATAATTTATGATTTAATTAATTAACCTTCTAGAACTCACTCACACATTTGTCACCTCTGTTTTTTTAATTCCTAAACCATCCTTGATGGAGCCTATAAATAAATCCATCCTCATTCACAAATCTCACTACCAATCATTCACTAAACTAAGCTAAAACTCTCTTCGTTTCTCTCAAGTCATTTATTTCTTTTTATTGAATATGTGAGCTCTTATGCTTTTTATTTATTTAATTATATTGAATTTTTACTCTTGCTTTATAGATTTAGTACCTTAATCATCACCATTTTGCATGAAAACTCAATTGATTTTAAACAAGAGTTAAAAAGTGTTCATGAACCTCCATAAGCAAAAGTGATGAAATGAGTTTAAATTTTCATTTTTAATACTGAATACCGATGTAAAAAGTCTTTCCTACACTAGTGGGATATGATGAATATGTCCATTGTTGTTGTTGATATGGGTAGGGTGGTAAAGTCCACTGTGGATGTTGGGATTGACTGCCACTATATCCATTGTTTCATCCTCTTCCACGGTAGCCGTGACCATTACCTCCTCTGCCACGATTGCTATTACCTCTATCGCAGTTGGTGTTGTCGGCAGGAGTATGAGATAATACACCACTGTGTGAGGCGATGAAGGCAACATTGTCAGTGTTGTTGGCTACCTTTTTTGCTCTGAATGTTTCTTCTAAGATGACCATGGAGCGCACTTTGTAAAAGGGAAGAAGAGAATCAGTATGACGAATTTGCGAGCCTACAGTAGCACTGGCATCGATTAGGCTGAGTTGAAGAATCGAATGTTCATTGGGGAGAGGATCCCCGACATCAGGTAGTTGGTCGGAGAGAAATTTAAGATGCTGACAATAAGAGGATGCATCAGATAATTATTCCACATGAAAGCGTGAAGACCCTTTCTTTAGGTAAAATGCCCTAGAACTTTTATTGTCATAGAACATATCAAACAGCCTGTTCCAAGCAAGTTCTGCAGTTGAGTAATGTTCAATAATAGTATTGAGAAGGTCATTAGAAGTTGTGTTGTATATCCACTGTAACATGACAACATCAAGGCAAAGTCAGAGTTCAAGATTAGTGTCTTTGAGTGAGGGAGATGCAGGTATGTAGAGGGGGAATATGGGATTATATGATCACGCACTTGATAGACATGAGCATGAATTTTGAATCATTCATATCATCTATTATATTGTTCTTTTTCAATATTCAGTGTGATTTTGATGAATTTTGTAATATTGGACACAAATAAAACAGGATGAATAGAAATAGGCGTGAGAATAGTGGAAAGTTGAGATTGAAATGTGGAATTATTGTTATTGAAGTGGATGTAGGAAGTGTTGTTACTTTTCGTTGGACATAGGAGAAGTGTGGAAAAGAAGATGCTATTGATAATGGAAAGATGTATCAAATATATTCCTAATAATTCTAAATAAATATTCAGTAATTATTTACAATAAAATCTAATAATATCCTTTATATATTTTATATAGTCTAATAGGTCATTTGTCAACCAATGCCATATAGTTTTAAATTTAAATTCAATTTTTAACATGTACTCTTTAGAAAATTTTCATCCCACATATTAATCTATAAAATTGCTCATAAGAGTGTCTAATTTATATTTATAAAAATATCAGAATCAAGATTTTGTTTCTCTAAGGAAAAACTTTTTCATATTTTTTGGGCTTAGAAGAAAGAGTATGCCAAGCAAGACCCATCTCATGGTTGATGGTTTCTCTATTCGCACAGTGAGAGACTGTGTATCTCTCTCTTCCATCTCTCAACGAGAACAACTAAACTAAACTACCTACCTACTTTACCTACCACTTTACCGTGACAAAAAATTCTTGAAAATTTCACCACCTTTAACCCTTCACAATGCTTTATCACACTCTATTCATCCTCCATTTCTTTCTCTTCATCACTTTCATTCTCCCTTTACTTTCTCTCCCTTCACAAAACATCACACTCTTTGGTGATGCTTCTTTCACAGACACCTCCATTGCTCTCACCAAACAAAAACTCACTTGTCTTTCTTCTTCGTCTTCTGGAACGGGAAGAGCTTTCTACCTCTACCCTGTTCGTTTTCTTGATCCTTTAACAAACTCAACCGCTTCTTTTTCATGTCGTTTCTCTTTCTCAATCCATTCATCACCTTCCTGCCCTTCCTCTTCTGGTGACGGCATTGCTTTTCTCATTTCTTCAACCACTGATTTCTCGTCTCTCTCTAATGGTTACATGGGTCTTCCGAGTTCGGACAAAGATTCTTACTTTGCGGTTGAATTTGACACGAGTTTTGATCCTTCTCTTGGTGATATTAATGGTAACCATGTTGGTATTGATCTTAGCAGTGTTGTTTCTTTTGCTTCTGTTGATGTTCTTTCACGTGGGGTTGATTTGAAAAGTGGGAAAATCATCACTGCATGGATTGAGTATAGAGATGACATGAAAATGGTTCGTGTTTGGATTGGTTATTCGTCTACTAGGCCACCAACACCGATTCTTGCTTCACTCATTGATCTTTCTGAGATATTCAAAGAGTTTATGCATGTTGGTTTCTCGGCTTCTAATGGAAAAGGTTCAAGTATTCACCTTGTTCATCATTGGCAGTTCAAAACTTTGAGTTATTCTCATTCTGTTAGTCCTATGGACAATTTAGAAGAAGGTGATTGTTTCTTGTGCTACGCCGGCGATTCGAAAGCGTCCAAGAAAAAAGGTGAAAATTATCAAGGGAAGAAGATTGGTGATTTAGCTCTTGGAATCTGTGGAATAACAGCTTTTGTTGTGTCAGCATTGGCATTAGTTGTTGTGATATGTGTTTACATGAAAAGGAAAGAGGGGGGTGTAATTAGAAAGATTAGAGAAGGACAAAGTTGTAGATTTCAAACAAATAAAGTTCCAATGAGGTTAGCACTTTCAGAGATAACATCAGCTACAATGGGGTTTAATAGAGATAGACTAGTTGGTGAAGGTGCTTCTGCAAAAGTTTATAAAGGGTCACTTCCATTTGGAGGTGATGTAGCTGTCAAGAGATTCGAAAAAGTCGATGATTTGGATCGTTTACACAATCCTTTTGCAACAGAATTCGCTACAATGGTTGGTTGCTTGCGGCACAAGAATCTGGTTCAGCTCAAAGGATGGTGCTGTGAAGAGAATGAATTGGTTTTAGTTTATGAGTATCTACCAAATGGAAGCCTAGATAAAGTTCTGCATAAGAATTTAAGATCTTCATTTGTGCTTTCATGGAAACAAAGAGTTAATATAATTCTCGGCGTCGCGGCTGCTCTTACCTATCTTCATGAAGAATGTGAGAGACAGATCATTCATAGAGATGTGAAGACATGTAACATAATGCTTGATGTAGATTTCAATGCAAAGTTAGGTGATTTTGGGCTTGCAGAAGTGTATGAACACAGTTCCAGCACAAGGGATGCTACTATACCAGCAGGAACAATGGGGTATCTAGCACCGGAATACGTTTATACCGGGATTCCTACCGTGAAGACCGATGTGTATAGTTTTGGAGTCGTGGTGATTGAAGTCGCGACGGGGAGGAAACCCGTTGGAGACGACGGAACTGTCGTAGGCGACTATGTTTGGAATCTGTGGGAAAAGAATAGGCTCGTGGACGCGGCGGATCCGAAACTGATGGGCGAATTCGATATTGTGGAGATGGAAAGGGTGTTATTGGTAGGGCTTGTTTGTGTTCATCCTGATAATGAAAAGAGGCCTAGAGTGAGGGATGCAGCTAGGATGATTAAGAATGAAGCATCAGTTCCATTGTTGCCACCATGTAAACCAAGGGTGAGGATTAGGCCTATTTATCCTGATGAAGCACCAGAAACACAAAATGATGGTTGTGATTGGGTTAGTAATGATGAAGCTCTTTATATGACTCCTAGGAGCCAGTTTTACTAGGATTTTTGTGTTCAGGAATCAGTTTTTTGATGATTGGATGTTGTAATTTTTTAGGCCATAAGAAAAAGTTCTTGTTTTCTTTAGCATTTCTGGATCAAAATGATTATGATGCACCTTATTTGGATTACATGAATTTATCAACATTAATGGACATTGTTTTAAACTTTATGTAACAAGCTAAGTAAGGTTATGTGATAAGCTTACAACAAATTAATGTTAGAAATTGATCAGAACTTGTCATAGTCTCATAAACAAATTGAGATTGGTCAGAAGCAGAAGAAAACAAAACATAGTATACATATGTCTGAATGAATTCATAATTGGTGCACATGAAAAAGCAACAAAATTTCTCTATAAGAAGTACATATATCAGTTTTGGTTGCCAGTATTGAGATTTCCATATGGGAGAAAAATGAAAGGACAAACATTGTACTATGCTTTTTATCAAATCTGTGTGATTCCCACTTTTGTTCAGTAATTCAATCTTGGCCATTCATTTCAAAATTTTGAAGACCCAAATGTTAAAGTTCGTTATTTATTTATTTTTATTAACCCACTGTAATCACTTGTTTTTATCGAATGACTTAAGAAAAATGTTATACTTCCCCCACATTTCTACACCTATATCATATTTCATTGTTCGCTAATACGGTAAACAGTTAAATATTTTAATAATAATTTATTTTTTTTAAAATAAAAGAAAATATTTTTTTTATTAAAAGAGGATGGAAATAAAATTATGTGATTAACCAATTTTATAACTTTATTAAATAACATTTTAAATTTTATTAATCAATTTCATAATTATTAAAAATTTGGGCAGTTCATTAACCAATTTCATAACTTCATTAACCAACTTTATTTTACTACTAAAAATTATTTTTAATATATGGATGTTTATTAAACAACTTCATCACTTCATTAATCAATTTTTTACATTTCATTTGTTAGACGTAATTCATATTCAGAATTATTTGTGTTAGTCAGAAGTAGAAGCTTCTGAGGTTGCGTTTCCGAAGTATATTTAGTTTCTGGGGTCCTAGTTTATTTTGTTAGCTTATCTATTAAGCATACTTTTGTTAGGGCCTACGTGACAATTTATTTTGTGTATTTAAACAAGTTTGTAAATATGGTTTTAGTAGAATGAAAATTGTGTATATAGTTTCTTTCTCAATAAATTTTTTGTAGCTCTCTCTCTCTCTCTCTCTCTCTCTCTCTCTCTCTCTCTCTCTCTCTCTCTCTCTCTCTCTCTCTCTCTCTCTCTCTCTCTCTCTCTCTCTCTCTCTCCTTTCTCTCTCTTCTTCCATCTTCATATTTTTCATCTTCAATCTTGTGCACCAACAATTGATATCTAGAGCTCCGGTTCGATTCAACGGGAAACATGAGTGTACCTAAGGCGTGCTTAATTGATTTCATTTTTTGAATTCGCGCTGAATTCATTATCATTATCGTGGCAGAATAGCATTTCTTGATTTTGCAAGGTCGGAAAACACAAGCGTTTGGTGAGATCTGAGTTTGAGTTTGAGTTCACAAAAAGAAGATGAGCGACAGAGACAATTTGAATACTAAGCTTCCGGTATTTGATGGAAAAAATTGGAATCGGTGGATGATCCAAATGTGTGTATTGTTCGGTGCTCAAGATGTTCTTGATCTTGTTACTGGAGGTTATGTTCCGGTTGCAACTGATGTGACAGACGAACAGAGAAACACGCAGAGAGATACTAGGAAGAAAGATCAGAAAGTGTTGTTCTACATCCATCAGTGTATGGATGCGAACATATTTGAGAAAATCGCTTATTCAACGACGGTGAAGACTACATGGGATATATTGACACGGTACTACATCGGTGATGCGTCAGTGAAGAAGGTGAAACTTCAATCTCTACATAAGCAGTATGAGAATCTCAATATGAATAACAACGAGAAGGTACCTGATTAAATTTCTAGAGTTATCTTGATCACAAATGAAATGAAATCTTGTGGAGAACTCTTTCTGAACAAGTAACCATTGAGAAGGTATTGAGATCCCTTACTTCTTAGTTTGATTACATTATTGTAGCAATTGAACATTCTAAAGATCTGAGCACCAAGAGAATGAAAGAGCTGCAAACAATCTAGAGGCGCAAGAGTTACATATGACTGAGATAACTTCTGAAAGAGAGGTTGAGAAGGCTCTGAAAGCTTCTTTTGTCAAGAAGGAACATAAGCATTCTTGGTCAGAAGTCAAGAAGAGACATGGTGGTAGTTCTCCGAAGTCATAAGCCTCCAACTATGATGATAAAAAGTATAAGAAAGGAAATGAGAAGTTTGACAAGAAGAATATTCAATGTTACTACTGCAAGTAGTTTGGCCACTTTGCTAATAATTGTTGGTCAAATAAGGGAAGGAAATTAGAAGAAGTAAATATAGACAAAATAGATTCTGATGATGAACCTGTGCTATTGATGGCTTCTGAGTTTGATGATAAATATTTGGTAGACTGGTGGTGTATGGACACTGGCTACTTAAATCACTTACCTGGAAACAAATAATGGTTGGTTGATTTTGACTATAAAAGGAGGACAAAGATTAGGTGTGCTGATGATAAGTACTTTAATGCATAAGCTATGGGAAATGCCAAAATCAAAGTGAAGAATGGAAGAACCGTTCTGATCAAAGACGTTTGGTATGTTCCTAGAATGATGAGAAATTTGATGAGTGTGGGTCAATTCATTGAAAAAGATTTCTCAGTTACTATGAAGAATAATCTCTTGAAGTTGTATGACTGCAATCAAAATTTTATTATGCAATTTGATCTAGGAAGCAATAGAACATTCAAGGTGAATATGGAGACAGGAGAAACTAAATTCCTTAGTGCAGAAGGCACTAAAGGTGATAGTGATTTATGGCACACGAGATTGGGGCATTAGAACTTCAGAAGCTTAGGGCATCTGAGTTCTAAGAAGCCAGTGAAGAAGTGAAAAACACAAGAAGGGGGGGGGGGGTTGAATTGAAACTTAAAAAACAAATGCAATAGACTCAAGATTTTTATCCTGGTTCGCTTGATCTCAAACTACTCCAGTCCACCCGCCAAGGTGATTTCGCCTCTCTCCAACGAGGACTTAATCCACTAATCAAACAGATTACAAAACTACTTTGACAACTTCCAAAGTCTTCTTGAGTATGACCACAACCCGGTTTATCTCAAGGAACAATATCTTAATCAAAGAATAATTAACTGTACTATATGTTTTTCGTTACAAAAACTGTATCACTACTGCGATGTATTACACAATTTGAGTATATGTAAGAATATGAATATTTGCAGCTTTTTGAGATGTATGAGCAGTCGTTCATGAAAAATCGTAAACGATTTATCCTTTGAGCTTGTTTATATAGGCGTGGAAATCTGTCCAAAATAAAACGTGATAATGGACACTTAATGCACTTTCCATACTGAGAAGATTCTTGTCTGAATGAAGTCGTTGCATATTATACTGTTTTAATTGAAACGTAACGCTTCAGAACTTGGGAATCTAGCATGCTGCTTTACTTTAGAACTTTGAAGACTCAGAGATATGAGGATATGTTGACGCGTTAGACTTCTGTTCAGAATCAGAGTATCTTTTACTTTAGCGCAGATTATGATCATCATTCTTCAGAACATTCTGATTTGCTCAGCTTGAAAGCTTCTGTGGCTTAACTTCTGATGTCGTTTAAGTCAGAACTTCTGCATAAAATACAACACAAATTTAGAGTGCATATTTGTTCTTTGTGTTTGTTATCATCAAAACTCTAATTAAGGGTTGTAGAATCCAACTATGTTCTAACAATCTCCCCCTTTTTGATGATGACAAAAACTAGGACTTTCAATAAAAAAATATAGAACAAAAAGCTTAAGAGAGTCTCCCCCTGAGTTGAGTACTCAGATAGAGATGAGTTACTTCCCTGAAGTTCCTTCTCGTCAGAGCTTTTGATGCATCTCCTTCTGTCCTTATCAGAATATGTTCCTGTTCATGCTTTCAGAAAAAAATAGAAGTTAAGATATTCATAATGTTTGAGACTTTGTCCCGGTATACTGTTATTGAAAATATCTTACGTTCTCCCCCTTTTTGTCAGGTATCAAAAAGCAATATAATCAGAGTCAAAAAGATGATTTGTATTGAAAAAAGAATGCAATGACATTTTTCAGAAACAAAGATGATAAGATGAAGAATACATAATATAAGTTAAAGAAAATCTAAGATGGAGGGGGAAGTCGTGTGAACAACACTTCCAGCAAGATCTTAATCTGAGTACTTGATTCTTCCCGCTTTCCCAGAATATCTTTGATTTCTTTTGTTGTATCTTCTTGTTTGTCCAATATATCCCCGATCTCTTTGTTTGTGTATTCTTGCTTATCTAGCCTAACGTGGATTAAAGTATTCTCCTTCTTCAACTCTTCCAGAGTTTGCATGACTAGAGACGAAGCTGGTGTATCTTCAGGGGTTGCATGTCGTTCAAAACACTCTGCAGCCTCTTCTGATTGAACAACTTCTTCTGTTGCAATTTCCTTTTCTGGAGCAGTAGTCAGAGGGTGATTATCAGAATCTGGTTCAGTGGCTTCTAAAGGTTGGTTCTCTTTCCAGGGAGCATTTTCCAGCAGAAGAATTTATTTCTTGTCCCAGTGACTCAGAACTTGATCTTTGAAGGCTTTCAGCTGATCACTGAAGTTCTGCTGAGCCATCTCATAGCTCAATTCTTTTAGCCTCTGGGATTCAGAGTTGAACCATTTTCTGAATCTATCCCACAGAGAATCAAAAGCAGCAGGATTAGAATTCTCTGGACTTGCTTGCTTCAAAGAAGTAACCCATTCCTATATTTCTTTCTTTTTCGCAGCTTTGGGTGTCCTCTGAGAGGATCCTTCTCCTGCTGCCTTCCTCTTTCTGGATTTCTTTAGCACAACCTCTGGAGCTGGCTTGTGCAGGTCACCGATGTTGATTTATGGAATAGTCCCATCTTCCTTGCAAGCTTTAAGGTAT